ACAGCACTGCCTCCATTTTACATATCTATTGAATGGATTAACTCTTACCTAAAGGGCAGCTGGTGCATCCTGATGGATTAATATACATCACATTAAAGACGGGGTTTGTGTTGCTGTAGATCTACTGCTCCAGAAGAAATACCCTCTCTCTGTGGTTGATTTAAAGAATATTAATACACACATACCTCTCCAGATGTTGATTGCTGCTCTGCTTGACTCAGACAGCTGTACAGAAAATGGAAAAGTCTACCGCAACTATGAGACATGGAGCCCAGAGCTGTGTCGGGTCTGTGTGTGCGACTCGGGGGCTGTAGTGTGTGAGGACGAGATGTGTGAGGAGCTGAGTGGCTGCCAGATGGCGGTGACTCCAAAGGGCGAGTGTTGCCCCGTGTGCTCAACTCACACGACAGAACCTAAAGCAGGTAAACCACTGCAGCTCTACCTTCAGTATGGGGATATAATCCACCTGCAGCTTCCTTTCAGCTGGTCATTGTGAGGTTTTCAGTACAATGTGTTTTTGTATACAGCTGGGGATATGATAACAAAGCTGCTGGCATAAAAGCAAAGCTTTTGATTTACCATCAATCTAAGTCTGTACCCTCAGCAGTAGTCATGACCTCTGGGTAGTGAATGAAAGAATGAGGTCAGGGATACAAGTGGCTGGCCTCTCCCTTAGAGATAGGTTTAGGAGCTCCATCATTTGGGAGGGGCTCGGAGTAGAAGCACTGCTTCTCTACATTGAAGGGATCCAGTTGAGGTGGTTCGGGCAGGAACCAGGATGCCTCCAACATCCTGCCTCGTCTCCTACTTGACATATTCCAAGTATATCCTACCAGGAGGAGGCCCAGAGGCAGACCTAGGACATGCTGGAGAGATTATATCACTTGATTGGGCTGGGATCTATTCTGTCTTTCCCTCCAGATGAGTTAACTGGATAAGCGATATTTAATAGATGAATGGATGAATGGATGTAGTTGTCGAGTGGATGGTGAAGGCTGCTGGCAATTGCCATGAAATCGGTCACAAAGAGGCTGCTGCACCAGAAAACTCCTTGTGATTGCCTTGGTCGGTAGCAGTTTTCATGGGAAGCAGCAACTCATCTGCAATCACTGGCCAACTTGGGAATGAGTGGCAATAAAACTGAAGAGCATTCACCTTCAAAGTAAAAGTTGACCTTTTGAAACAACCTTTACTTTGAAGGTGATTGTTCGCCATTTACATTTTTAAAATGTAACTGCAATTTAGCCAGTAGTTAGCAAGTGCAGACAAGTCATCGTCTTGCTTGCAAACTACGGGAAACTGCGGAAATCTGCTAGCAACCATTACATTGGATTTCTGACTTACTAGAGATGGCAAAAACTGTGTCTCATTGATGAAACCCTCACAATGACGTATGGACTGAAAGGGACTCACCCACGATACTCATGCGGCTGCTGTTCTGTCTCATGAAGATACCTGCACAGAAAATGGCACGACCTACTCCAACAATCAGATATGGAGCCCAGAGCCGTGTCGAGTCTGTGTGTGTGACACGGGGACTGTGGTGTGTGAGGAGGTGGTGTGTGAAGAGCTAGGCGACTGTGAGACCACTGAGGCGCCTCAGGGCGAGTGCTGCCCTGTGTGCTCAGCAGCCACGCAACAGCCTCCGAACACGGACAATAAAACTGGTAATAAATATTTTGAGCTTCATGTTGGACAGATTCAAACACTGGGATGTCTGTTCCATAAATATCCACACTGCTTTCCCACTTTTTATTACCTGTGGTATTCTTATAACAAGTGTAATTCGTCCTGTGTGCTGCGAATCACGACTTTATGGCCCTTTTTATTTACTACAGCACATCTTCACAGCACTACAGAGACAATAATTGAACATTTTGTCAGTGGAAATCAAAAAAAATCAAAGGAAAGACACAAATTCTCAAGTCATAGAGGTCCTCTAAGTATTGCTTGAGTTTTCCTCTGTATTGATTATGATCAAAACCAGTATAAAAGATGGACGTTGCCTCTGTGACGTCACTCGCTGGTTGTTGACGTCCTGTTTCCACCATTGCTATCCTGGTTGCGAATAACCAAATGTGTCAAAACTTGTTATTAGCAAGTTGTTAACCAATGAGTGAGCAGTAAAGCACTGCAGTCAATCTATTTTTTTCCCCAATCAGAGATCTCGCCATCTTGTGGCCTTCAGGTAGAATGCAAGAATAAGGCACCCACATTTGCTTCTGTTGTTTTTTTTTTATTTTTAACTACAGTTAACTTATTTTACTATTGATGGACAGGATACTGCCACCAGAAAAATGTGTATTTCCTCACCTGCTGGCGGCTGGTTGCTGGATGGCAGTCATTAATTGAAATCAGCAACACCAAAAACCTAGTTACAATTGCTTTCGATGTTATCAGCCTCAAGTTTGCATGGAAGATTCAGAGTTGACTACAACCAATTGTTGACTACTTGCTGAAAAGTAGAGAAACTAAAAAAAGGCACAACTTTTACTTTGATGGTGAATTGTCTCCATTTGTGTGCAACTTTTCACAATTTTACATCTACTCCAGGATTAGCTAGTCTCTGCAGACAAATCCCAAACTGCCAACAACCAAACTGGTCACAATGAGTTTTTCATCAGTCAGTCGGAGAATACATTATTCCCCATCATGACCAGTAGATGACCAATGGTCATTGACCAGTCTGTAGGGCTGTGTGACTGGGACCTTATTCACTTAATGCTACAGGGTCACATGCCCGAAAGAAGATAGAGGTCATGTGATTGAAAGAACTTAATAACTGAAAAAGAACAAAGAAATACATGTAAAACGTCTTAAGGCATCACCTCACCCGAACTGCATAAATGCGTATCAAGAAGTCAAAGGAAGTCCAGAAGTACTTCATCAATTTATTAAGTAATTTTGTAAAAATTGTTTTATTGCTAACAGGTAGCTTGAGGTTTTTCTAGGAGAGTCCATCAGTAGTGATATAAAGTCTGGGCTAAATGAGATTAAAACAAAGAACGTTTTAAAAGGGATTTTATTTAAAAAAAAATGTCTGTTTGCTAACTTTCAGTAAGTGTAACAAGTGTTAGCATGCTGACCTGTGAGAATTAGCCCCAAACACAGAGCAGAGCTAGTGCTTATGGGAATGCAATGATATTGAGTGGAAGACAGAGACTGTGAATCAAGTAATTATGATGGGGGCAAAGGTGGAACTGAGTTAACAAAGTTACAGTGATTATGCACATAGAAGGAGGTGGTTGGGGTCGATGGAGGGTCAGTAAAACACAGTTAAGTTCCCATTTCAAACTGTTTGAATTAATCATAATTATTCCATACACTTAAGGAGAATTTTTGTGCTTTTTCTCAAAATACTGCGGCATACATTCATATTAAAAATGATCAAGACTTCAAATAATATGTGATTACTATGAGTAATCACTCAGTTTTCTCTGACTAGCTCTGACTAGTTAGTTACCAAAAGTATTCTACTTTACCAATGAGCAGACTTGTCTTGACAAAGTACAGGAAGGAGTAGGAAGTTGCTCATAATCATTGGGTGCTGCCCCTTGGCTGTTTTCCCAGAAGTTGTCCAATCAGAAGAAAGTGGCCATTTAAGGTGGGATCAGTAAAAGGCAGTAAAATGAAATGAGGGGCTACATAACGGGCCAGTATGAGATAAATAAAACTCTTTATGAACTGTGACACAGAAAGTTAGTCTGATGGTGTCACAGAGTGAAAGTAGAAAGCTGGGAATGAGTTTAACTGGTCCTCTGTAATGGCATTTTAAGTTTCCCTCGTGGCTCCATCTGTGTTGCAACCCAGTAACAGGGCAAAATAGACACACCAGTCCACTGTGTACATTTCATGCTTTGCCTCTCCAAAAACTGAAATGGACACACAGGCAGAAGTTGCTTTACCAGCAGGGGGAGATCATATTGCTTTCTTCAGTAAAACTGGCAGCAAAAGTGCAAACCCATAAACTACTAATCCACAATGATGCTTTAATGATCTTTTAGCTACTATATTATATACAGCTGACACAGAAAATGATACTGAAGTCAGCTGCTGTTCTTTGTCATAAAGATTCCTGTACAGCGGATGGCAAACTCTACTCCAACAATCAGATATGGAGCCCAGAGCCGTGTCGAGTCTGTTTGTGTGAAATGGGGACGGTGGTTTGTGAGGACATGGTGTGTGAGGATATAGGTGACTGCCAGACCGCAGAAATCCCAGAGGGCGAGTGCTGTCCCGTGTGCTCAGTCACTCAAACTGGTAAAACTGGAATGAAACCTGCACATTTGTCCTGGCATCAGTGGTACTCTGCTCTCTCTTACAGCCCGATGCCCTCCTTTTCAAGCTCCGTCCTCTGCACACCACTGTGAAATGTTGTTCTTGAACCTGTACCGAGTTTCCCTTTCAGTTTGCAAAAGGAATACATGAAGTTTTTGCCAGATAAGTTCACTTCTCTCAACTAAATGTGTGCAATAAAAAAGGTAGCTTCATTCTTTTGTGTTTCTTAGAAGAAATAATGGAGCTGCGACCAGTTTTACTGCCACACACCCCCCCAAAAAAAACAAGCTGAGAAAGTAACTTATTCAACAAATAAGGTGTATTCCTCTGGGAAATCAACATCTTCTTTGTCATGTTTAATGCTTTTTTGTAATTTCTTTACATGCACCTGTGATGATGTATTTCTGCTGCTCTAAGCACAAAGTTCGGCTTAATGATGCACCAGAAGGATGATTGTGGGCATGGTCGTGAGATTCATGCATGTTAGAGTAAGATGCTGGTATTTTAAGGACTAGAAAACACACATACTTTACATTTTTTGACTGTATTTTTGAAGGAACCCAACAGTATGGATTCATAAATGAGTATGTTTTATTTTTAAAATGTGTGTTTTCCAGTAAATTTGCAAAGTTGTGGGAATTTCCATTAAAATGTAGATCCTTTTTTAAAATCCAGTGACAGCCTGTTGCAGCACATACTAACTGAGTTTCTCTTTCATGAAGACACCTGCACAGAAAATGGAAAAGTCTATGCCGACAATGACATGTGGAGCCCGGAGCCATGTCGGGTGTGTGTGTGCAATAAGGGGACCGCCATGTGTGAGGACGTGGTTTGCGAGGACCTCGGTGACTGCCAAAAAACAGTGACCCCAGAGGGCGAGTGTTGCCCTGTGTGCTTGACTGCAGCTTCAACATTGATTCCCAGTACAGACCTCGCAACAGGTAAAAAGTCCATTTTATGTGATTGAAAATATAATTTATTATATGGTTGATCCAGGTCCGGACTAGCCTTTAATGAGGCCCCAGGGCAGAAATTTGTTGCTGGTCCCCCCGCAACAAGTTTTTGATCAAATATGTTTTGATTAGCTTAAATTAGCCTGAAAAAAAAAAACCAAACAACAAAAACTCGTTTAAAAACTTGTTTAAAATGTGATGAGTGAAACTACAAGGGTGCTCTGTGAAGAGGGGTGGCTCCAGAATTTTTTCATAGCGGCGGCCATATGAGGGCCAGTAAAAATATTGGGTTGGCACATCTGTTGTCAAATATAGGTTACTTGAAAAATAAGTAACCTAACCTATAAATAAAATAAGTAACCTTTAGAACAGAGAGATAGAAAAGAATTATATGTCTAGTTAATTTCCTGCTATTAAAGTTGACATCACTGAAAAATAGGTACATATGAAAACCAAATAACATTTTTAAATCCATAATTATCTGTTTTAATTTATTGACTGACTGATTGATTGGCAGTCCCAACCAGCACTTTAATGATTCTTCCTCTCTATTGTGTTCACATTTATTGAAATTATTACCAATATTTTGCAGTCTTGCCGGGGGTGGCCAGTGCCCCCCCAGACCCCCCCTTGGTGACGCCCCTGTCTGTAAATGAAACTTCAGTCCATACCACAACAATGAGCATGTTATAAAAGGAAAAATCTAATTTTTAAAATTTTCTAATTCATAATGTAAAAAAGCAAATGCTGTTATGATGATGTATTGTTTATGACTTTGTCTCTTTTGTTTCTTTGTCTTGTATGTCTGGTTTAGTGTTAGCATTCATGCCTACTTTCATCATTTCGTCTGTTTTACTTTGAAAGCTTGTTTTCTTTGAGTTCCTGGGTGAGATTTGTGTACAGGGGAAGGAAAGGAGATCACGGTTGTTTGTTGCTCCCAAGAATGTGTAAGAATTCCTGGCTGTCTGTCCATCTGTTTGAGCCATTTTGGGTTTTTTCTTGCAGCTGCAGATGAGAAGAAGGAGGAAAACTGCAATGTCAATGGGGAGGTCTACCATCACAATGACATCTGGAAACCCGAACCTTGTCACGTGTGCGTCTGTGACAACGGCGTCACTGTCTGTGATGAGATACAGTGCGAGGTCCTGTCAAACTGTGAGAAGGCTGTCACGCCCGCGGGAGAGTGCTGCCCTGTGTGCGACAACTTCGCAAGTGCCAGCAGGATGATAGGTGAGACAGATTTACCTGCATCCAGAAGAGAGATGGTCACTTTGTGTTAGATTTACACCCCTTATAAAACTTAGATACTTTATTTTATGTCTTATCTTTATTTTAATGTTTTTGAAGTGCTTTAAAGAGTAAGATTTACTACATAAATTGTGAAAAATAAAATAAATGAAAATATTTTTTTCTCTTTTTTTCGCAAGAAATTATGGGCCTCAAGGTAAGTCATACAGTCAGTTAAGAAAAATATATTAAATTGGGAACATTGTCACTAAAAAGTGTTGCTTGGCTTTATTTTTAGGGGCAAAAGGGTGAACCAGGAGACATCCCATATGTAAGTAAAAAGAAAAAGTTAGGCGTTAGTGCACTTTGCATATAAATTTAACTTTTTAAATTAATTATGACTAGATAGAGGTCTTAATAATTCATTTAATGAACTTAATTTTTCTTGTGTTGTGAAGGTGGTGGGGATTCCTGGACCTTCAGGACCCTCGGTGAGCTTTTTTCTTTCTTTCATCCCCCTCTCTGTCCTTGTTATCTTTCTGTTTGCTGTCACAGTATTACACATGATAACTGGAGTCACAGTAGAGGGCAGCAAAATGTAATACCAGCATTTGTTATTACAATTACCAGGACAAATGCTTTCATGTACACCATAAAAATAAAAAAAAACTTAAGAAAAAAGTAATATTCCGGCAGCTGGGGCACCAAAATAATACCATAAAATAACAGAAAATAACTTTCTCATGAAAATACGGTTATTTCCAGTAATGACAATACAGTTTGTTGCCCTAATTTTACATGCGATTTTGCCTTTTTCAAGTGCTTTTAAACATTAAATTAGGAACATTTTAAGGTGATTAAACAATGAACTTACCTATAAACAAGATCAATGAATGTGGCAATATGAATAATAATACTTAAATGTTCAGAAATATACAGTTAACAGTTGGTTTAAATAATAATGGATTGCATTCATATAGCGCTTTTTGAGACCCTCAAAG